TGGTATCTCGGTTGATGGAGCTCGGATTGGACGTAACCAACAGGATCTCGCGACTCCATGGCTGCCTTTTCGTTGAGTTGGTCACTGGATTCCATGGCCGAGGAGAGGCGGGCTGCTGTGCTTTTGCGGGGTTGGGTGGTGGTGTCGGCAGCCTGGTGTTGGTGTTGATATGGGGATGGTCGGCTTTCCCTTGGGTCTTTTTCTCCTATGGTTCTTGGGAGGAGAGGATGGCCGACGTGCCGAGCCCGAGCCGTGGTGTGGTTTGGGCTTGGAGCGGCGGTGTTGTGTCTGGGGGTCTGCCGCTGTCCTCTGGTTGAGGGGTTGGGTCGATTGCTGGGTGCGGGATTAGGGTTCGGGTTTCAGATCTGGTTAAGCCTGTGTTGCAGTTTCTGGGTTTGCAATCCACACCTTGGTTCGGTCTAATTTGGTGGTCAGTCGTTGTTTTTTCCGTTGTGGTCTGCTTGGTGCATTGTCCAACCATGAGAAAGGCTTTAGTCTAATATTTTGTTGTGTATGGTTTTTGTGTATTTTGTGTTTGCTGGTGTGTTGTTTTGTGACTTGTGTTTTATTATCTCCTTTTTTGGAGAAGCGTGTTTTCTTCTCTGGAGAATTTGTGTTATTCTCCTATGGGGAGTTTTGTGTATTCTCTTGTGGAGAGTTTTATTTTATTTTTTTTTTCGTTTTGTAGTGTGTGTTGTGGTATCTAGTCTGACTTGAGCAGTCCTCCTATTCCGACTAGTAAACCGGTTATAATTACGTGTTTAANATATCATCAATGATTCAAATCATGTACTTCACAATAAAACCACTCTCCAATCATGAGGTAGAAAAACGTTTTTACATACACATTGAAAGTGGTAAACCACGATTCTTGTTCAAGCATCTTTAATTTTCTTGGCAATAGCAAAAATGGCTCCAATAACTGCCACCACCGCCCCTGAAATTATGAGAGTAGATTTCAGGTTTTGTCCAGCTTTTCCACTCTCTTTTTTCCCTTCTTCATCTTCATCCTTCAACAAAACAAATAACCCAATAAAAATCCCTCTTTTTTTTCTTGTTTTATAAAACAGTAAGGATAAAAAGAGAAATAAAATTATCCAAACACTAATTTTGTTTTAGCTGATAAATTTTATCAGCCACTTTAAATCAATGAATTTTTCAGTTTTCACCAGTTATAAGTTAATTGTCTTGCTTTCGCTAAATTTACCAAATATATGTATCCTTATTTATTAGTTTTTATAACAACTTCAATTTGTAAATTTTACAAAATCCAGCACGTGAAATCAAAATGTGTAATCCGAAAAAACTTGGTCCCATGTCTTTTGTACACAACTCACGGGCCACCAATAAAACAATATGAAGACCTAATTTTCCAACTTAATAACAAATTAATTATTAACTACTAAGGAAAGCAATTTACTCAGGATTTGTTTTCTTCCCACAAAGAGAGAAGGGCCAAAAAAAATAAAGAAAAAATATCGAGAAATACCAAAAATGAACTTAATTTCGATTTCGATAATAGATCGCCAAACAAACTTCTGGACCAAGAATTGGGGTAATAAGTTGAAATTAAACTAAACCCTACCTTAAGCTGCTTTGAGGTCACGTAATCCGGGTCGGGCTGGGAACTATCCGGGCCGACAGCACCGGGCCCTGAAGTGTCCCCATCAACCAAGACATCATCTGGATAGGTGAAAGAATCTTCAGTTGCTGGGCTTTCTACTTTTGCTTCAGCACTTGCCATTTTCTCGCTCCCCACAAATACCTTAAGCTTGATTCCTGCAAGGTTGTCGGTTTTTATTTTTAGTTATGAAATAGGAAAAGGGGAGATGAAAGATCATTTGATAAAAATGATGGCGACACGTAAGGTGTGCATTTAATACGTGTTGTGATAAACTTTTGTCACTTGGCAGCACGTAAAGGACGACACACACCCACAAAATGTATGATATGAAAACAATCTCTGTCATCTTGTCCGTGTGCTGCGGTTGGAATTAGCATTTCTCGTGGCAAGAAAAAGTTTTACATTTATTTTTTTTCTCTGTTAAATGAAAGAGAGAGAGAGAATAGAGCTCCTCGGTTTACATTTTGTTTTTACCAGTTGTTGTTAAACACGTTTTTTTTTCTGTTAAATGAAAGAGAGATAGAGAATAGAGCTCCTCGTTTAATTTATTTGTTTGCTATAACATCAAGATATTATTTTAAAACTCTTGCAATAGATAAATCTTACAGTTTTACTAAGTTATTAAATATATTTAAATTAGTTATGTATACATAGCTTGTTCGACATAAATTATAATAAATGTGAAAGTTGTTTTTTAGCTAAATTTACTGAGTTGAAGTCTAACATATATTGTAGGTTAATAGGTTTTAGATCAGTTCCAGCAGATTCCTATTTCGGAGGACGGTTCGGACAGTATGTGGTGGAGACTTACATCTTCGGGTGCAGAGTTCAGCTGGATGACCAACCTAACTTTGTTTTCGGGGTCATTTGGACTGATCTACTTACCCCGACCATCTCTGTCTTTCTTTGGCGCCTCCTTCTGCGCCAAATTCCGATCGACGCTGTGATTCAGACGAGGGGGTTTCTCTTCCCTTCGCGGTGTTACTACTGTGCCGAGACCGGACATTTCCAGAGTGAGACTTTTTTCCATTTGTTTTTCGAGAGCAAGGTTGCAAGGAGAATCTGGGAACATTTCGCTACTTATACTCATATACCTCTTCCCACTACAGACAGTTTTTATGAGCTCCTGAGTTTTTTTCTCATAGCACACATACTTTAGACACGTAAGTTTCCTCATTTCTTGTCTGATCCTGTGGTCCATCTGGACATAAATGAATAGTGCGAAGCATATGGATATTATTTTTACGTGCTCTCACATTGTTTTGCAGGTTGATCGACATATATCTCTCCTCATAGCTCTGGCCAAACTCACACCTAGAGACTGGCCAAGCTGCACCTCGCCCCACCGCTTCATACTATCTCTGCTGCCGCTTGTCCAGCACCCACGCCCCAGAGCTGTTGTTTGGTTGAGACTCGACTCCCTTTAGGTTAACTTAAATACACTTTTGACCGACTTACTGAAGCCGCCGGAGGCGGGGGCCTGATTAGGGACCACAACAGAGCTCTTATTACTGCCTTTTACGTCCCTCTTCAGGCCTTCTTGAGTTACGACACGGAGGTTCAGACGCTTCAGATCGGTCTTCAGACTGCAGCCTCTATCTCTTCTGACATTTGGATAGAGCTGGACGCTGTCGCTGTCACCACCCTCTTGACCTTAGGTCACCAGGGCTTGTAGCAGATTCAACATCCACTCATGCACATCAGATCCACAGTTCAGTCGGTTCGCTAACTATTGGATCTCGCATATTTTTCGCGAGGGGAACCGACCCGCTGACTTCCTCGCTTGCATCTGTGCCTCCACTCCCTAGATGCGCATTTTTCATCCAGACTACACTCCTCTCCGCCTTCATACTCTTGTGCGAATGGATCAGATTGGCTAACCATCGTTCAGATTTGGGTAGTCTTTTTGTATTTTTGTGTTTTATTTTTAGCCCACTCGTGGTGCAAACTGCTCGTCTGGGCACATGTCAGCCTAAGCTCAGACTTTTTATTTGGTTGTTGTTTTTTCTTTTTTTGTTTTTGTTTGCTGTTTGGACGTGTAGTTGTGATTTTTCATTATTAGAGTCTTGACTATATACAGATTGAGAGTCCGGTCTTAATCTCCTACCCTTCAGAATGTTTCTTCTAAAAAAAGATGTACTAGCATATAAAAAAAGTCTCACATATATTGTTCAATTTGAGCACCGCTTGATGAAGATATTAGTTATCTATACTTATATAAAAAGTCATCATATTTACTAGAAATGGTAGGCAGAAAAGTCAAAGGTAATTAATGCTTGCTGGAAATAGAATTGCATTAATTACAGATTTATTTTGGTATTTATAGGCTTGACATTAAAAATTTGTTATGGGATAAAAATCAGAACCGATTTTTTTACCTTTGCTGGAAAAGTCAAAGGTAAGTATATATTTGTTTTATCCCATAACATCGGTTTAGTTAAAAAAATCTTATAAAATCGGTTTTATATGTCAAGCCTATAATTTAAGATTTAATCGGTAAAAAAATATGTGTATATTTTGTAAAATATTTATACACTATTTAATTTTAAATTTATTTACATATTTAAATTGATTACATAAATAAATAATACTAACGTGCATTAAATATTTTTCATTACATAAAATAATAAGAAAAAAAAGACGTACAACTTCTATGACTTTATAAATAATAATAACATTATATAACAATAAATTTATAATAAAATAATAATTAAGTATTATATGGTGAATAAGAATAAGTAAAATTATTATTCTCTCTTATATCAAGGAATAAATATATAGACTAAAATCAAATTTATGTAGTATAAATGTGTTAGTGAGATAATATATTAATTATTTTACAAGCTAACCCTAACATGCTCATATTTAATGTTTTAACTAAAAAACAACGCTGATTAAAAGAGGTGCAAATAGATTGTAAACTTATTGTTTATTACACTTAACGTTGATTAAAAGATGTGGAAAATAGATGATAACCCGATCGCTTTATATACTTAAACGGACAAACAAGATGTGGAAAATAGATGATAACACGATTGCTTTATATACTTAAACGGACAAAGACTGTGAAAATAACTCATTTAATATTTCTGTATCGTGCGTACGTACTAGTTAAATTTTAAAAGCCACTCTTAAAAAAACAACAATATATGTATATATATATATAAAAAGTTCATCATAAATCATATCATAATGTAAAATAAAAGCGTCCACCTGAAATTAGTCAATTGCCACCCACGACCAGCAAAGGGCAATTCCTCGCTCTCCTACCTACTGTACTACGTATATACGAGAGTATACATAACATACTACACTACAAAAATAACCCTCCTTTTTCATCTCTCCTTTTTCCCCATTTTCCATCTCTGGAAAATCGACAAACCAACACAAAACATTAAAACAATCTGCCAAAAATACAGCACAATAAAAAAACGCAACACAACAANTCTTGAAATCATTTCAGCGAAAACCCATTTCCCTTTCCCATCCAAGACCCAACATTTCTTTATTTCTCTTCTTTAATCCACCAAAACAAGCAGAACCCATTTGCTTTCTCAATTTAGAAGGGGGAAAAATCCTGAGAGATCCCCTTTGCGTTTGATCTCTTCAAACTCTAGCATACAAAAAATGACAGAGGTGCTCCACTCACCTTCTTCGTCGTCGTCTCCCTCAATATCTACGCCCACTCACAATGCCGCGTTTCTCAACCAGACTCAGTCTTTTGCGGGTGAAGAGGGGATTTCTAGTCTGACAGCGGGTGACTTGGAAGAAGAAGAGGAGGAGGAAGAAAACAGCGTGCGAGAGGAAAGGGAGAACGATAGGAGGGATCAGCTATCTCTGTTAGCACTTCTGGTTACCCTCTTTAGGAAGGGTTTTTGGTTGGCCTGCAAAACGGATAGACACAATTTTTCCAATGGTGCTGCCGCCGGTGGCGGCGGCGGAAGCGGTGGTGGGGCTATGGAGATTGGTTGGCCTACTGATGTCCAGCATGTTAATCATGTCACATTTGATAGGTTTGACGGGTTCTTGGGTTTGCCTGTTGAGTTCGAGCCGGAGGTACCAAGGAGGGCCCCTAGTGCTAGGTATCCGTTTTTACCCTTTTCTTTAATCTCTTTCTTCAGCGTGGAGTTACTCTGGGATCTTATGTTGATTGGTGATGATTTTAGCTAGTTTTTCTTATGTTGGCATTGGATACTTATACAATGTTGTCTATGTGCGCGTTTCTGTGTTTCTTGGTTACAATTTTTAAATCTTTGGTATATATTGGAATAATTTTGTGGGGAGTTGATTTCTTTAAGTTTTATGGTGGCATTTTGTGTCTACTGCTATTTTGCTCCTGCTAAATTGGAATATGAAATTATACAATACACAATCGAAGTACTTTTAGGTTTGTGCTTTGAAAATATTATTGAAAGAAAGTAGTCTAATCTTCCAGGAAAGAATATTTTGGATAGGTTTTTTTGGTTGGATTTCTTGTTTAGTTCTTCTTGGAATTTGGTCTCCTGAAGTTTGATGTATCTCCCAAAACAAAATGGTATGTTGTGATTTACTGTTTTGCCATATATGTGTCTAGTTCGATATGTTTGGATCATAATAACCTCATTGTACGGTGGGCCATTATATCTACTCTGTTGCTAATTAAGCTCATGGTCCGTGGGAAGATATATGTGTGACTAATTGGTAGTTCCTCACACTGCAGTTCAATAATTGTGACTTCAGCGGGATTAGCTATTAAAATCAAACATTGAAGTTCTCATCAGTTGGATTGTATAGATCATTCATTTACTGTTCTAGAAATATTGAGCTTCATGAATAAAATCTAGTAAATATCTCTTTGTTCTCATTTGTCACATTCTGTTGTAGCCGTTAAAGTCATTTTTTAGATGCTTTTGTCCCTTCCTATGGAAACGAATCATTTTCAACATGGTCGTCTTTTATTAGTGGGTTGTCTTGCATGAATATATTGTAGTCCAGTGAAAATGAAAGTTGGAATTAATCCTAAGAAAACTGTTTTATTGGCTCCCTTAAAAGGTGACATTCTATTTCAATAGGCAAAAATCCCTTGTTTCTGTTGAGGTTATGCTTTTTGTATAACGCAGCTAGTTTTTCCTCGTAACAGATGGTAGTAGTCAACTTGGTTTGGTTAACTAGGACTAGGAGTCCACATATTGGTGCATTTATTAGTGCATTCTTTTCTTGATCTTATTTGGGGAATAATGCTATTCCTCAGTTGCACCTTGGCACTGGAAAGTGCTTTTAAATTCAGCGTAGAAATTCCAATTTGTCTGTACTAGGGAAAATAAAAGAAAAAAAAACATTTTTTTTTTTATTCTCAACCATTTTATTTCTTTTTCCCTAAATGCATTTACCCAATCTAGTAAGACTTTGCATTGAAAGGTTAATACAAGATACTGGTCTAAGATACAACATACAACTTTTTGTGCATCGGAGACATTGAAGACTTTGTGAATGAGATCAGTGAGTTTAGTCAGTGTAGTGCTCGTCACTGATTTTATGTTTCTTTCCTTGGATGTTGAAATTACTGTGAGTGTACTGAATAATAATGCTACAAACTTCCAAGTTCCAACGAGATCTGCTATTTTCTTGAGAAATGAATTTCATGTTTTGCTCCGTATAAAATATATGAAATGTGGCCATTTTTTATTTTAAAATGGCCCTTTGTTTTCTGACATAAATATATCCGTATTTGATTATCTTAGACTTGAGGTTGGGGAGTGTGTTTTGATGTGTGCAATACGCTTACCACATTGCCCTTATTCAGCTTATGTTTATCTTTTATATTTGTCTGCTTGTCAATTATCTGCAATTATCATCTTGTAAAATCTCTGTTATTGATGTTTTGTAGTGACAACTGAAAGGCACCACAAAATTCCGCCATTTGTGTATAGAAGGAAAAGTCAATTTATAAGTTGTTTTCTTGAAAAATATCAACAGAAATGATTTAGCAAATATCCTTAACGAATTAGTTAATTTCCTTACTGGTGATTATTAAGATTTTAAGACATTATTGCTTGTGAATAGAAGCACGACATGATAACTAGCTACTTTAAATACATATACTTCTAGGCAGGATTGAAGCTGCACAAGCTGTTACTTGCAGGTTGCAGCTGATTTTCCTCGGTTTTGCAGTAAATGAAACTATTATATATGATGTCACATGGTCTAGGTGTCTAAGGAGCAGTTTAGGAATCATGTTACATTTGCTGATCAAATCATTTACTCTTAGCTGCCTTTGACAATAATATTCATTTCAATCCATATCCCCATTTATCAGTAATTGCAAGCAAACAATTGTGTTAAAGCACAGATTTGCTCAGCGCCCTGCGCATTTAATATTTTCCTTAGTAAACTTCATAAGCCAATCAATGAAATTTTGTTTAAGATATTTATGATTTTCAGGTAACCATGTTCTTGGAATAATAAAGCTTGCTTGAATCATGAATGTATTTTTGATATGCTGAACAATATCTATGGGTTGTGAAAGGCTGAGTGCCCATTTCCTGGGGATTACGTGTAAAGAGCAAACATATTACGGTTCCCTCTTTTCAGAATGTCTGTATATGATAAATACTTCACATG